ATGGAAATGCATAAAAATTACTTTTTAAACCACAAATGCGAGACTACTATTTATTTAGATATTTGGGGGCATAAGTCATCTAAGAATGACTAAAGTTTGTCTCCCCTTGGCCATTGACTCAGCTGAAAATCTGGTAGAAAATATTTAATTTTTGTAACCTTGTTCATTAAACAGGGATTACCCATATCCGCTTTAAAAATACACCAAAAAGCACAAGGTGAGCCTAGGGTATCTTGTATCACAAAGCAAGGACCGGCTCCAAATCCAATGGGATCATTTCCAAGGCTACAAAATCCAGATTGAAATGGCCCCCCTTGGAATACCCCGAGCACCAAAAAGAATACTGAGCGTCATAGCTTATGACACATAGAATTAATTTTCAAACATCCACAAGTCTGCAGTAGTACTAAGAAAATGAAAGGGGAGGATACAAAGGACTTTTTAAAGGAATAGTTGGTCTTTGCAGGGAAACGGCACCTTGCAAATGTAGGAATGATGATGGCAGTAGGAAAGTACAGTTTTGGAGTCCTCGCTGTGTTCATTCAGTCAGGTAAGGATTGTTGATGGTGGTTTGAAAATGGGGTCATCGGTTCCATCGTGTAATGGTTAGCACTCTGGACTCTGAAAATGGGGTCATCCACATGAAACCAAAGTATCACCTCATAGACTTATTAATCACCCAGGACAAAGGTGCCCTTTTAATGGAGAGGTTGGGAGGTCCTCTCCTCACGAAGTGGCCAAATTTAGGTGACAAAGAGCAGAACAAGCTGACCTGGGTGCCACCAACAGTGGTTGAGCCATTAGTTCACCACATCACCCATGTGGCACTCAGGCTGGAAGTGGCCGGCCGTAATCAATTTCCCAGGAAGCATTCAGGCAAGTGGAGAATGTGGGGAAGTCTGTGAAACAATTGGCCTGAATTCCTCAAGAGAGAATTGAAATCAGTACCAAGATAAGATAAGTACGAAGATAAGAAAGGCAGGATTGGCGGCAGGGAGAGGAGGACTGGGTACAAAGACACACTGAGGAGACCTAAGCACACATCGTGGTGAGTTCTTCCCTAGATACTGCATCCAGCAGGGCAGGGGCGCCCCAGGCAGGTGGGGGGTGACTGGGGAAATCTGCATACGGGCCATCGTGCATATACGGGACACTATGGAATTGCTGGTAGGTGTGACCGTCATGTGTGGTGACGTAGGAGAAGGTATTCAGGCAGGAAATTTTTTCATGAAAGATTATCAAATTTCAAGACTCTTCTTTATAATAGATTACTTCCTTCTCTCTTGTCTTTGCACCTAGTCTGTAAAAATCTAAGTTGTGGGGGAGGGGTGCTGGGTTCACGCAGTGGTTCAGTTCCGTCATTCATTGACCAAATAGTTACTGAATGCCCACTGTGTGTCAGGTTCTCTAGAGGCGAACAAAAATGAATCCCGGCTTATCCTTTCCATCCGAAGATGTTCACCTTGTCTCCCCTGGGAATGCTGGGGACACAGGGTGGGGAGGGGACACCAAAAAGAAACATGAGCCAGATTTAACTTGTAAACAGGGTTTATTTCTGCCGGAGCCCCTCCTGTTCTTGGTCTAAACTTCTTTCAAGAAATAAATATACTTGACCACGTGACTCTCTGTAGTTGAAATCCTTGTAGACGTGTTGGGGGCTGACAAGGTGGCGGCCAAAGTCCCCTCTGCGGTCTTTGGACAGATGGGCCTGAATTGCTGTGCTTGGACGTAAACCCCCTCATTTCCTTATTTTTCTAACTAAGTGGTTTGTTTTCTTCAGGCCAGTTCCTGAGCATCAAGTCCCCATCCCTGTGCTGCCGTTTGGAGGAAATACTAAAATAACTGCCAGAAACATTTGTGTATTTTTTTATAAATAGAGTAAACCCCATCAAGGCTCATGTTAATTTTTTTTTTAATCCCTCATTTGTGAGTTTCATGGTAAAAGAAAATGAAGAAGGTAGACGTGGTGGCAAGTTTTTGTTTTGATGTGGCTTTTGGGGGCTCCTGAACGTTGAGATCGCAGAAATCGAAACCCGGTAGAGCAGTCATAACACTTATTAAAACACTCGCACGTGCAAAACAACTCGAGCGTTTTAAGAATCAAGTTTCTAGACATGTGTCATAGTAGATCAGTTCCCGCCTTCAAAGTATTATGATCGGCTCGGTCCCTTTGTCATTGTCCCTGTAGGAGGTGGCCACGGTTGGTTGTATCTGGCCACCCAGACGAGCCTCTGTTAGGGCGTCTGCCAAATAAGTTCAGATAAACACCAAGTGATCAGTGACTTTGATATGTTCCTAAATCAGCTTTTTGAAGAACTCCTAAGAAATTGCAGAAAAGTACCCCCCAAAATGCCAGACCCTCATGTCCCCAACAACCTGAACAGATAGCTTTTAACACATTAGCACCTTCCTTTTGCCAGTGTAGTTTTTTGACACCAGCATATAAACACTGGGAGCCCAGAGACCGATTCCTTATTTACTGCTCTGCCCATCCTTTCTTAAGAGTGCTTGGTACACAGTGGGTGCTCAGTAAACCTTTGTTGAATTTTAAGTAATATAAAAACGTCCCCGATAAAGTTGTAGCCGCGTTTGACCCCTACCGACAGTCTCTCCCTCCTCCCGCCTTCGTCAGAGGCACCACTGTCCTGAGTTTGGACGCTTCCTATTTATTTTGTATGTTCAAACATCCATATACCCACAAGCAACATATGGTTTTATTTTATGGTTTGCGATTTACATAAATGGCATCATGCCGTAAGTGTCTTCCTGAAACTCGCATTTTTCATTCGATACCATCTTTTGAGATTTGTTCATGTTGTTACATTACCCCTAAACCTTCTTGCTTTTTTCCCCTTTTAGCTGCTATTCCCTCGTTTAACTATATTCATTTTCGTCATCAATGTCCCTGCTTGATAGACTTTTAGATTGTTCCCAGCTCGGTAGAAGTCTGTTACCTACGCGTGCGTCCTCACCACCCCCAGTCTTTGTCGTGGGCATAGGCAAATGGAAAAGTGATAGTATTTCTAATGTCTCTCATCGCTACCAGTTATAGAAGCACTGTGAGGCCACGGAATGGCACCGTGTCGGGCTCTGTGCTAAGCGTTTCATATATTCGCTTTGTCTTATTTAATACAACAGGTTGTTTTACAAACTGGAAAACTAGTCTGACGTTACAGAAACATTGGCCAACCTCCACAACCCCCTAAGCGGCAGACTCAGGATTTGAGCTCAGTTCTTGGATACCAAAGCCTTGGGTGTGAGACATACTTTCGAGGGAGGATGACCCATTTTCACTCGCTGGACCTTCTCTTGTCGTAATGGGAGATGTTGAGTCAATATAGTTAGTGTGCAGGGGGAGTAGAGGAATGAACCGATGGTCTTTGTTCCACTGAAAAATTGAGTTGTCTGTTGCACGTTTCCCTCGTGATAGGAAGGTTTTTTTGGCCTGCCTGTCGTTTTAGGGGTTGAACCAATTGAAAGTTTCCTCACCTTCACTTCTAATGATCTTCAGGTGGATAATTGGGGCAGTGCACTTGTCTTGTTGAATTAACCCTTCACGAAAAGAAGGGAAGTCTAAAATTATTCATGAGACGTAACCATCGGCTGTAACTCACTTCTGTATGTATCCCTAGTTATCTCTTTAAGGAAGCTTTCGAAGGGATGTGTGTTAAAGGCGGGGGAGGGGGGCTGCGGGGGAGCAGAGTCGTTATTTCAGGCAATTCCAGAATATTTGAAAATGTATTTTTACTTTTTTGCCTTTCATTCTGCAAGGCTGTTTTCAATCTAATTTAATGAGTCCTCAAATGAGATCTATTTGAAGAAAATTACCTAATAAAGTATGAAATTAGTCTGGAGACTGAGAATTTTTGGCATGTTGCTGATGGCAGCCTTTCTGATAAGCAGATACACGATGATGATGATGATGGTGGTGGTGGTGATGGTGGTGATGGTGATGGGGAATGCCTTTGACTGATGTGTCAGCTTTTTTCTGAACAGACCCAGACTACCTACGTTCTCAAATTGATCTGCCCCCATTACTTTATCCTGTTGTGTATTGAGAAAAATTGGCACACAAAAAATAAGGAACTTGAAAGAAAATGCTAGAAAATGCTAGAAAACTTGCTAGAAAATGGATTAGGTAGGCTGCCTCAGGACGTGTTTTCAAGAAATTTGGAAAGGACCTCCCCCCCTTCCCCAACCCTCCAATACTTTGCTTTCACAAAGCCTGACCTTCTACAACTGAACTTTTTTTGTTGTTATGTTTTAAAAAACTATTATGAATTTTCAGAGTATTAAGATGACCTAAAAACTGTTGATGATCTATGAGGTTTAAAAAAAATTATTGAATCAGAGATTTAGTGTGAAATATAAGCCATAAGGTATCATCAACATTGGTAACACTGTGGGTAGGTAACTGTTCTAGAATCTGGCATCAGCTCTTTTCCTGAAAAGATTTGGTGACTGATGGGGAGAGAGAATGGATTCAAAGCTACTTCGTCCCAAAGTACAGAATGACGTAAAAGCTCCCGGAAGGGATGCCTATACGTGCCTTGGAGATACGCTGTCCCCATTTTATTGCTGGGAGTCGCCTTTTGGCCCAAGAACCAAAACCTGCATGGGGCTTTCCAGCGTCCATCCGATGTTGTGTCCGCCACGTGCCTTTGGAGCTGGTGACGTCTCCATTCCCCAAATGAGGCCAGGACCTTCTGCGGTTTATAGATGGCATTCCGCACGCACCTAACAAAAGAGGTGACATCTCTAGGAGTTCCCGCTGTTTTCAAGCTACGATTGTGCTTCTGCTTATAAAGAGCTGGGTTGGATGCCTCCCGCCAATTATACCTTGGCCTCCTTCTTGCCTTTTTCCTTTGCCATGAAGGCTTTTGATGGAGCTTTTCTGTTTGTTTGTGAGCCGTGTCTCTCCCTCCCCTTGTAGTGCTGTTCATGTAATGCTTTATCTCTCTCCCATTCATATTTTTTTCCTTCCTTTGTGCTGCATGGAGACTCTCTGCTGTACAAGTGTAAGTATTTGGGTGGCTCTGCAGTTTCTGGCTGGGCTCGTTTACAGTCTCGTGTTCCATCTGCTTGTGCTGCCTGGCTGGTCTCCCAGGAGACCGAGTGTCGTCCCCCGGCTGTGGATCCTGCATGAAACAGGCAGCAATTTAGAGGCAAGATTGCATTTTGCAAGGTGCTTCAACTAGAAAACAGGCGATGAATTTAAAGTATCCTGGCTGTGCCTGAAAGCAAGCACAGTGTTGATGAAGAGGGCACCAACTTTCAAGAGGTGAAAACGGCCTTTTCGTTCCTGTTTAAAAAAAAAAAGACATGATTCCTTAAACGTCCAGGTTTTGTTTTGGGTTTTTTGGTTTTTTTTTTTTTCCTGATTCTTGTTTCCCAGGGTTGTAGAAATTTGGCATCATGATTTCCTTCTTGGATTAGAAGAATTTTCCTAATCTGTTTCCCAACTTTTTTTTAACTGACTTTTTTTAATGTAATTTTCTTAATGTTTATTTTTGCGAGAGAGAGAGAGACAGAGCGTGAGCAGAGAGGGGTAGAGAGAGTGAGGGAGACACAGAATCCAAAGCAGGCTCCAGGCTCTGAGCTGTCAGCACAGAGCCAAACACGGGGCTGTATAGAACTCACGAACTGTGAGATCATGACCTGAGCCAAAGTTGGATGCTCAACCGACTGAGCCACCCAGGTGCCCCTAACCAACCGGGTTTTATTTTGTTCCTTGTTTGTTTTAACCTCGGGGAAAAGAAATTAGGCGTTCTCAAGCTTGACATGAGAATGTTGTCGTTTATCCTTTGCACAAACTCGGTAAAACGAACAAGGAAACTTCCCCATCCTATTTTTGTGGTGAGAGAAGCGATGGAACTCTCATTTTAGAAAAAATGAGTGTGTCTAGGAAGTATAGGTTAAGAGTGAGTTTAGCAGGAAAAACTGTGGTGGTGTTTGTCAGGCTCCAACCTTAGTCCTTAACTGGTGGTAAAATTGAGATACCCCTTGGGCTACATGAGAGGAGTTTGAATTCCATCACAGGAACTGGATCAAAGGAGTAAGATTTCGGAGCAGTAACACTGTGGTCCCTTTAGATTCCTGTAGAATAGGAATAGTGGCCGTGGTTTCGTTCACACTGTCTGCCAAGGTGGGCGTTTAGTGATGGTTTGGGATGTCAGGATGTGGAAGGAGTCTTGTGTTTAGGGCTCTCCTTCTAAAGTTACGTTTTAAAGACTTCAACACCCTGTGCCTCATGTCTCCTGAGTACGTGAATAGTGAAAAGTACTTACGACTCGCAAAATGCATCTTTAAAGATAAAGTAATTTCATCTAGGCTTAAACAGTAGACAGTGCTGGCCACGAGTTGCTTTATGAAGAGTCCATTTGGTCCGTATGCCTCCCTTGCTTCTGTTGCTGACACCCCCCCTTTCATCTGAGAGGCACTTCGCGATTTCTCCTCCCAGCAAATATTTACGCATCGACAAATGTCCAGGGCAGGAAACGAAGGCCAAACAGTCTGAGAAAATTAACCCTTGTCATTTGGATACGGGGGCATTAACAGTTCTAAAGACAAGGTAAAGCTGGATCTCTTTTCTAGGGTACAACTCCTCTAACCAGCAGGTGTGAGAAGGGGAAGACTAAGCATATAGACCAGCTTTCTGGAAAAACATAGAATATTTGTTCTTAAATGTATCCTTGGGTGCATAATCATAGCTCATTCTTCTGTTCCCTCTTGCTCACGATGTGTATATAGTGGGATCATAGGACTGAGCTACTAAAGAGTTTTCTTTTTCTATAAAACTGTTAAGGAAGGAAAAATTCTAAAGAAGAACGAAAAATAAGAGACACATGAAATTCACCATTTCTTCTTTCCCTCTTCGTCGTTACACATAAACCACGAAAAAGAAATCATCAAACCGTTCATCCGTCAGCAGTGGCTCAGTATCTAAAATTGGGTTGCTTTCTCAACACCGGCGGCCGAAACTCGCCTGATTTCGAGCCCTGACTGTTGTCGCAAAAGCCCCTCGTCCCCGCGTGAACGTGGCAGACTTCACAGATGTGTCAGATAGAGTGAAAGAGTTGTGTTTGAAATGCAGCTGTAAAGAGCATGTGAGATGAAGGAAAGCTTTGAGGCATTAGAAAGTCAAACCAAGAAGAGAAAAGTAGGTCCCATTTGGTGGATGGCAGCTATGGAGAACCCGGATGGTTGCCATACAAACCCCTCAGTGTCTGTGTAGTTAGCTCGAGCTGAATGACCGATTTACAGGTAGGCGTCAGTGTGTAAATGGGTCTCTCTCTACCTGTCTTTTATATTATGTATAAATGTTATAGATCATCTGTGTTCTTTTACATATAGCTCTCTGGTCATTCCTTTCCAGCTATTCAGAATTGTAATATACTTGAAATGTCATCATGGTCGTATGTGTTACACACATTTGGTATCTGTCCTAAAGGTTAAAGAGGGAGACTTGAGCCAGATTCTTTTTGCCCGTGAACACTTTTTCCGTAAAGTCAAGAGTCGCAGGAAAAAACCGTTGGACGACATCGTCGTTCCAAGCATTTTATTTGTGGCTGTCCAAATGAATTGGCTGGAAATTAGTCCCAAGCTGCTGCTCGATCCCTTTACCCGTCACGGTTGTGTGCAAAATGGAGGGAGTACTAAAGACATTTTTCGTGAAACATAGCAGATATTTTGGTAGTTGGGTTCTCCTGAGGATTATTTATTCTTAGAGGTTTCCCTTATGAATAGACCAGTCAGGCCAGGCCGCTCTCTGCTTCAGTCAACTGCGAGGTCAAGGTCAGTTTCGGGGGAGAGCAACCTGGAAGCTGGCTCCCTTTCCAGCTGCCTCGGATTGACGCTTGCTTTACAGGTAGATATTCCTGAGATTGTCTGCCTTTAACCTCGAAAGAACCAAATCAGCAGTTTTCCCAGTGTATTTCAGGGTGACCCGTCTGGCTTTGAATATAATTGCTCATCTCTTCTCTCCCTTTTCTCCCAATAATAAATACTGGCAGAAGGATATTGTTATTAAAGCCGGCACAAAATTGTTAGAACTCTGAAGTTGTTTGTTTCAAAGGTCAGTATGAGCCAGTTCATTCTTTGAACCAAAGAGAGTTTCTCACCCTTGTGGCTGTTTTTGGGGAGAGCCTTAGATGACGGCCTATTAAAAAGACTACAAAGTAGGGGCGCCTGGGTGGCGCAGTCGGTTAAGCGTCCGACTTCAGCCAGGTCACGATCTCGCGGTCCGTGAGTTCTAGCCCCGCGTCAGGCTCTGGGCTGATGGCTCGGAGCCTGGAGCCTGTTTCCGATTCTGTGTCTCCCTCTCTCTCTGCTCCTCCCCCGTTCATGCTCTGTCTCTCTCTGTCCCAAAAATAAATAAACGTTGAAAAAAAAAAAAAAGACTACAAAGTAAGTTCTGTTATCTCTTACTTCACACAAAGACTGGTGTCCAGGATCAAACCGATTAAAACGTCCCTAACATCCATTCATCAGTATAGCGATGGCGAAGGGTGTGGTTACAAGGGATGCTGGGCCAGCCTCGTGAGGATCTGTCCCTGGTGCCGTTCCTAATGACACTTTGAATGGTGGCCTTTGTCATCTCTGTGAGTCAGTTTCTTCCTTCAGATTTGAGAGGGGATGACAGAGGCCTCCTCCTACTTTCACTGTGGTCCTGTTGAGGGAGAAGCTAGCACCTTCCTTGGGCTTGGCTTTATGTAATCAGCAGTTGGCGCCAAGGCTTAAGTTCTGGTGGTTCGGGTGTTGGTCCCATATTTGAAAGACTCAACGAGAAGCGACAGCAGATACAGACTTGGAAACTATGGCAACCGTTTCCTAGTTAGTCTTTGCCCATAATCTAAGGGTCAGAATCTTGGTGGCAGAAGTGGGAGATGGGACAGTTACTTGAAATACTGAGGTGACAAAGAGTCCGGTGTCGCCTGGGAGTTGTGACCGTGGTCACAAGCAGTGAACAATTGCAGTGTCCGCTTGTAGCGGCTGATGTTTTACCATCCTTTAATCGTATTTTTTGTATCCATTTAATTTTTTTTTTAACGTTTATTTATTTTTGAGACAGGGAGAGACAGCATGAACGGGGGAGGGTCAGAGAGAGAGGAAGACATAGAATCTGAAATAGGCTCCAGGCTCTGAGCTGTCAGCACAGAGCCCGACGCGGGGCTCAAACTCACGGACTGTGAGATCATGACCTGAGCCGAAGTCGGACGCTTAACCGACTGAGCCACCCAGGCGCCCCTTTATATCCATTTTAGTATCGTCAGGTGCAGCTGGGAGTTACATTCTGTATCATTCACTGTTCCTTTCCGCCATGTAAATACAGTGTAAGCGATGAAAGCTGGGGCGAGGAAGGGGGAGGAGGCAGAAGGGGCCGTCCGAGTCGAGAACATCGTCACCCTTTGGAAATGTGGGGGCTCGGTCTCCGCAGGGAGGCCGTCACATGTGACCAGCCATCCTGGAAAGAGGCGAAACAGATACTGAGTTTAAACATTTGATCCCAGATGCTCCTTCGGCCCCGTCCCTCCTGAACCATTAACTGAAGTTTGGAAGGCGAGTTTTGTGTGGGCGCCTAAGGGCTTCCTTTATTTCGTTGCTAGATGACGCCCAAATCCAAACGGAAGAGTATCCATAGCCGGATGCTGCGGCCTGTTTCCAGGGCCTTCGGTGAGTTATTTCTGTGTCCGTGAAACACCCTCAGCGGGGACCTCGGGCCGCTTCGGGGCCGTTTCCCGGGGATGCTCTGGGAGGCAGCGCTCAGAAGGGCAGTCGCGTGGTTTGTGAACGCATGCGTGTGCGATTGGGTGAGGGGCCTGACGTGACCTGTAGGAATTCCGCAGCCCATCCGGAGGCACTCAGCTTGGGCCCGGGG